GATGATCAAAGCATGAACAAATAGCTTTTAACTGGGTGGATTTCAAATAAATAAATACAGGGAGAGCCTATTTAAAACAACAGAGACCTTGTATTTGTGAAATCTTAACAAAAAGTAACCCTTGAAAATAGATTTAGTATAGTGAAGAATAGGAATAATGCCTCAGTACTAGGAATCTAATTAAGAATATTATACTATAAAAACACATGTTGGAACATCAAATATTCAGTAATTTAAGAATGATTTCTCTCATATGTATTTGAAACCTGCACTTGCAAATAAGACTAATGTAGATGCATATTAAAAACTTGTCTCATAACCTCTTAACTTTCTGAGCAGAGAGAATAAACAAAACATCAAATTAATAAACACCATGAAATGATACCAGAACAGTATTCTAGAGGATCATCTAAATGGTTGTATAAAGTCAGAGTTCAGATCAATAGAGAATTATAAAGATGTGTCATCAATCACAAAAACATAACAAGGCCCTACTTTTAGGAAATCTTGTTCTTAACCAAATAATTTACAAACTCTGATGGACTTTTCCTCAGAGTCTGGTCAGCAGACTGCAGTTGTAACACATGAAAAATCCAAATTCTAAAGTCAACCAAATCTCATATGTCTCAGGTGCATATGAAACAATTCTGAATCCAATTTACATTCAGTAGTAACTTCGACTTTAATTTGTCGATTTTGAATTAAAAACCAAATTTCAGGAGCATAATCTGCCTGGTGTCATACTACCCTTTTAAACTGGTTATTTAATATGGTATTTGATGGTGGAAAAAAGTTGATATGAATTAGTAAGGCTGGAAGACATGAACACAAGAGCCTAGTTCAAAAACATGTCCTCGTACCTCCAGAGTCTCCAAAGAATCTCCAAAGACATCAGCAAAGTCTGATGGACTTTTCTTCAGAGTCTGGTCAGCAGGCAGCGTGTTGTCATTGTATGATGTCACAAACTTAAAGTCACTGGTTCTTGAACCTGTGGTCAGGTACGCGTCATAGTTGTAAGTGCTGCGTAAAGTTCCTGTGCCATCAACATCTGTGTAATTAGGAGGGAGATAACCGCTGGGGATGGCAACTGCTCCATCAAACAACAGTCTGGGCTTTCTCCTGCGACAAAATCTCAAACCCAGGATGATGATGATGAAAGTCAGAAAAAACGTGGACACAGACACCAGTGCGATGATCAGATAAGAGGTCAGTTTGGAATTGCTCTCATTATAAGACAGATCCTTCAGTTCTGGCACCTCAGCCAAGTTATCAGAAATTAGTAAATACATGGAACAGGTGGCAGACAGAGAGGGCTGTCCGTTATCTTTCACTGCCACTACAAGGTTCTG